AAAAAAAAGAATTTTCACAATAAGAAGTACTGGAGAGGCTCATAGAGGAAATGCCCCCTTGCACAATGTTCGTTGGAATGCAAATTTTTACAACTGCTGTGGAAATAAATGTGGACTCAACTCAAGTAACTAAATTAGAAATTCCATTTGATGCAGGTACTTTCTTTCTAAGTATCTTCCTCAAACAATTAAAAATATTATTTACATGGATATTTACATACTCATTTATACCAGTATAGTTCATAATAGAAGTCTTGGAAGTGACTCATCCCATCCGTTTATCAACAGATGAATGGACAGGGGAAATAAGGTATTTATTCACAACATAGCATGAGTCTTCCATAAAGAAAGATAAATTTGAGTCAATTGCAGGACTAGCTTCATCTTGAAAACATAATATTAAGTGAAAAAATCAAACACAGGTGCTTAAATATAGATTGGTTCCTCTTATGAGAAACTAAATGTATAAATAATTTTAATAATGTAAGATAGATAATAAGAAACAGACAAATCATTTGCAAAGGGACCGTGGGCTAGAGATGAAGAGACTGGGAGGGCAAGACTGGAAGTCAAGACAAAAAGAGTGAAGAGGTGTCATGTACATCTCCCTACTCCTTACACGGAATGCCATTATTTTATACTGAAAACGTGTACTGATAAAAATGAATTCATTAATGCTTACATTTAGAGAGTATCTTTCATGGTCATGTCAGGTTAACCCTTTTCAAAAATTGTGTATGAAGAATTCACATGCAAATTATGTACCAGAATACTAATTGGCTCCAAACTTCCTACAACTTTCCAAATTTCAGCTTCTGTTTCCTTCCCATTCCAAAGTGTTCCTCAAATGCTCTTTCCCCCTTCATTCTATTCCAAGTGTGAAAATATCATTAAGCCTTAGTTTCCTTTTCTAGGAAAAATGGATGGAGTAGAGACAATAAATCTATGTGAAATAAATCAAATGCGCAAGCCTAAATGTTGTCTAGATGTTATTTTATGATAATCCCAAATGAAAATATTTTCACCAGATATAATTATGAAAAATTGGTCAAAAATTACCTGGTTATATCTGATAATCATAACAACTACTTTGAAGAAAACCATATGTAATATAGCAATGATTTTTGATTTCTGATTATCTTGTTTTGTAATTCTGTATCATTTTTGATGTGTTTTTACTTTTATTTTCTTTAAAATAGTAACAAATGATAGGAATCTGGTAGGTAGATTTTTAGGATTGGAAGGGATCTAGGGATGTGGAGAAGGTAATGAGGGAAGTGGATGAAAAGACAATCAGTATGGGATGTGTGTGGTGCA